CTTGTTCTAAGCATGTAAGAGCATCAGCAGCTACCAACTCCTCATCTGAGCTAGCATTCAGAGGTTTTTAATACCAGTATTTTCCACCAAAAAATAGTACAGATAATATACATTTAGCTAGATTAGGGTTACCATATTTCCAATTCCAAAAAGATACCCGTCACCTGGGAAGGCTCAGGGAGGTATATGATTGTGGGGGGCAGTGATACACCAATGCCCTGCCCATTTTGGTGCCCCTCACTCCCAAGCTACAGCACCTCCCAGGCCTGCTGGTGCCCCACACTGCTGACCCACAGCCTCCCACCCCCCCCCAGCCTTGCTGGTGCCCCTCACTGCCAACCCACAGCCCCCCATCCAGCCCTGCAGACTCTTCCTGCTGCCCTACCCCTCTGGTGCCACCGTCCAGGCCATGCAGCTCCCTGCTGCCCCAGAAGCCCCCGACACCCCTTTCCCCCACTGGAGGGGCAGGCACCTCCCCCCTGCAACAGTCCCCAAGCCCAGGCCCTCCAACTCCCCCACAGACTTGCCTGCCTGCAGCTGTGAGGCTGCTCTCACACCCCTGCCAGGTGCATACTGGTCCTGCGTGTGCGCGCCCTGCCTCCAATTGCCTTCCCCCACTCCCCACAACCCCAAGCAGCTCCTTGCTAGGGCAAGCCAGGAAAAACTTTGGAGCTAACAAAAATCCTGGATGTTTGATCATATTTTTAAAAAAAGCCTGGACGGAGATGGGAGGATCCAAAAAGAGGGCATGCCCAGGAAAGCCTAGACATATGGTAACCCTAAGCTAGATACATCTTGAATATTACAATCCTTAAGTAAAACAGTAGTCACTCATCTTCTTTGATGGGAGTCCTCAGTTAGTAACGATTAGGGATCTGGGTTTTTCCATTTCCCATGGAAAAAATGTGGATTTTCTTCTATAAAGGAGAAAATCATGGATTTTCCCCTTAAGAAGGACAAAAACCCAGGAAAACTCAGGTTTCCCCTTGCAGGCTAGCAGAGTTCCAGCCTGCAAGGGGCTGCTTGGGGCTGGGAGGAGCAGGAGGAGGGTGATCACAGACAGGCGGCACCTAAGATTTCTGCACCCACAGTGGGGCACAGGGCCACAACCTGATCAGACCAGCACCAGGTAGGAGTTGCCTCTAAGACCCAGCAGATGGGACTCAGTGTCAGAAGGAGCGCCCCACTGCCATGACTGTTCCATAGCAAGGTGCCCCCTACCCAGTGGGCAGCAGTGAGGGGACACAACTCTGCACCTCCGCCAAGGCGGCACCTTACCTTGGCAGCCATGGTGGCACAGCTGATATGAAGCTCCTGGCGGCAGCATGGAGTTGTGCCCCCCCCCCGACGCTGCCAGGCAAGCAGAGGGCACCTCACCTTGGTGACCATGGTAATGTGTTGCTCCTTCCCATGCTGGATCCCACCCACTGAGGCCTGGGTCCAGTGGGTTGGGAGTGAGGGGCGACATCATGGGCATGGGCAGGGCACAGCACTGGCACATCACGGCTGCTCAGTGCCACAAAGCAGCAGGGGGGACAGCTGCAGCTGCACCCATGTCCTGGTGGGCAAAGAGGGCAGGGGAGCTCTGATTTTCTATGATAAAAAAAGCCAAAAATCAAACACCAAAATATATAGGTATTTAGAAGTTATTTTATTATAATGATTGAGGCACTGGTAAGCTTCCAAGTTGTTTTAAAATCATAAATATATCAAATAAAACCTTGTGTTCAACTGATACCTATATATACACACCTAAATACCTGTTTGTATGAGTGGTGTTTAATTTTAATGGTTGAAAAATGAGGATTTGGGGAGTTTTAATCAGAGAATTTTGAATTTTTTTTAAACAGAGAAAGCCATTATCCCTAGTAATGTCATCTCATTGAACTAGGTACTGAAGGACAGCCTGGCATTCCCTGCTCAGAGGGCTCACAATCCAAGAAATCATATCAAATGTAAGTACAGGACAGAGCAACTTATTTTTAACATTAACATTATATAACCATGGACTTTCCTTACAAGAAAATAGTTGACATGTTGTAAGTGGGTCCAGATCATACACATTGCTGCTGCTGTCTATTTGAGGAACTGCTTCTCTCACTGCAATATTGCTGCAGTAGTAGGTAGTACATATAGACAAGCTGGAATGCAATCAACTTGAAGAGGAAGCCTATACTGACAGCCTTCACTAAGAAATCTTCGAGTTTGAGGTTCACTTCTGAGTTTCATTTTAAAAAGTGAAATATGGCACGCTGATTTTGAGAAAAAGACATATTTTTGTTAATCTTAGCTCAGCCAGTTGACCAAATCAGAGACTCACTAATTAGGTAACATCTGCCTATTCAACCCCTGATCTCCACCCCTCCCCCCAAATTTAAATAAAATCAAACCATATGTTATTTGATTCAAAGATCCTCCTTCACCTGCTCAAAGCATGTTGCATTGTGCAGCTGAACACCTCAACAACAACTGAACACAAAAATGGGTCAGACTAGCACTTCTTATCAGTCTCACTCGGTGCATCTACATGTGTGCTTTACTGTGGAGTTGGCTAATTAGCTCCACAGTAAAGTGTCAGTCTACATGCATGTCCATATTAGGGTACAGGAAATTAATTAACTCCGCTGTAAGACAGTACTTGTCGCAGACAGTATCCTGTGGTGGAGTAATTTACGCCGCTGCAACACATATGTAGGTGGTAACTGGGGCTGGCTGGGGCACAAGGGTGCTACAGTGTGGGGGCTGCCTGCTGGCTAGCCCCTCACTATAGCACCCTCATGCACCAGCCAGGCCCTCCACCACCTGACACCATCACCTGGAGTCTGGGGCTGCTCCACCCTGGCTTGAATTGCTGCAATCCCAGAAGCACATGTAAACACTGCGCCTGGGAGCAGTGGACTCCAAACTGCACCAGAGTTTACTGTATCAGGTTAATTGCATGTGTAGATGCACCCATCAAGTTAAACAGTAAGCTTAGATGGAAAAGAAGCTAGTTTAATAAGCTTTTGAGACTTTTTAGACATTTACTGTCCTTTAATACATGAAAATGAGTTACAAGTTTCAAATGCCTTATATGGATGATTTAGTAAGGAAGAAAACTGGTAGTACTAATAACCTCAGCAAGTCCCCTCAGGCCAGGTTATGAGGTTTACTGCCCCAAAACAAAAATCTAACAAACAAACAAACCCCTTCCTCTTTCTACCCTGACTTCTTACATCATCACAGGATCTTATGTTGTAAGCTCTTTGAGGACACTATTGATTTTATGTTTGTACAGCACATAGAATTATGGGGCCCTGGTCCAGGTCTCAGGCTTTCAGAACCTAAAGTAATACAAACAGTGATCTGATGACAGCCCAGAGTAAGAGAGAAGGGCTTTTAATAAGCTTGGTTTAATTACACAGAAAATATGAAAAACTAACCAGTTCTCCTCAGCTGCCAGATCTTATACAATCAGGCATCTAATCTAGTTTTTTTTTTTTTTTTTATGTTGGAACTCGATTGGAGTTCATAAGCAACTGAGCTACCAATCAACTCAAACTACAACACGACAGGAAACACTAGACCAGATAGAAACTTGAGATGTTACCATCCCAATAATCAGTGAAAGAAAAAAAAAAAACCCAAACAAACATGTTCTAGCTTCTCTTTCCAAATAATTCCATGCAAGCCCTGAAGATTTTGTGAGAACAATTCACTCCTCACCACACTTACCGTGGCCTCTACACAGGGGATGCAAAAGCAATTTAAACTACCTTCCTGTCCTTTTCCGACTGTTCTCTCCTGCTGCCAAGCAGCCTTAACTCGAGGTTTGACACAGGACAGAACGACCCAACTATTTTATTCAGTGGGCCTCCAACCCAGAAATCCACTCATATTCTTATAAAGAAGAACAAGGGGTCGTATTCTTCTTATAAAGAGGAACAAGTGGATTCAAAGCATCTCACACAGCATTTTTGTTTTCAGAACAGTGCAAAATCAGAAATATTGGTCAGGCAGAGAGAGTACAGGCATACCCTCGGAGATATTGCGGATTCGGTTCCAGACCACTGCAATAAAGCAAGTCACACGAATTTTTTGGTTTCCCAGTGCATATAAAAGTTATGTTTACACTATACTGTAGTCTATTAAGTGTGCAATAGCATTATGTCTAAAAAACCAATGTACATACCTTAATTAAAAAATACTTTATTGCTAAAAAATGCTAGCCATCATCTGAGCCTTCAGCGAGTCGTAATCTTTTTGCTGGTGGAGGGTCTTGCCTTGATGTTGATGGCTGCTGACTGATCAGGGTGGTGGTTGCTGAAGGCTGGGGTGGCTGTGGCAATTTCTTAAAATAAGACAACAATGAAGGTTGCCACAAACCTTCAATTTGTAAAAAACGCAATATCTGCAAAGCGCAATAAAGCGAAGCGCAATAAAACGAGGTATGCCTGTATTCCTTCCTCAAATATAAAAATTTAAACCAATCAGGTCCTTGCCATTTACTCATGATAAATTAGAAATAAAAGGTTAAACGGTAATGATATTTATACCATTTACTGTTTAACATTTACCTCCCAACACAGCGCTGTTCTGTCAGGGGAGCTGCTCCAGCATGGGCTGCCCAGGAGGCAGTGTGGATCTGGGCTGCAGCATGATGACGTTGCTGCAGCAGTGAGGTAACTAGTGCTTACCTGGGGGAGCAGAGCCAGGCAAAGGTGCACAATGGGGTGTGCAGAGCTTAAATAGGAGCTAACACAGTGGCGGGGCTGCCATCGGGTGCCGCAGGGGTGCACTGCACAAACCCCCATAGCACCCACAGGGGCTCTCACCTACTGGGACTGCCATACCACAATCCCACATATCAGCCGTGGCCCCAACTCCCCATGTCACCCTGCCCCTCTGCTGCAGGACTGAGTAATTGTTTAACTAATATAATTAGAAGAGGTTAAAAGTAATTTTTAAAGCAATATTTACATCCCTACAATAAATACGATTGTTAGAAGGTCATCTCTTACCTGCTCCGTAGCTGTTGGGCAATAATACACTAATATTAGAGTTGTACATATGTTTATTAACAGTCCAACGATGGTGATCAGATTTGGGGCAATCCAGGCTGGAACTCTTCCAACTAGCCATTCCCAATAACCTTGCATTAGTGGCTCAAGCAGGGACCGTCCAGAACTCTGATATTTGTGTTCTTCTAATCGCTTGAGCTGGTGCTTTGACAATGGAGGTGTAGGCAACTGAATTAATTTGCTTAGTACACATCCTGCAGCAGGAACACGACCACAGCTTACAGGAGATTCTGAATGTGACTCTCCACATCGCTTCTTTAAGGACCGATGCCCACTCATGGATTGGTTAGCCTCAGAGTTTTTATTTGGCAGACGATAGCTGTTGCGAAGTGCCATAAGATCCTGATTTTCTGGAAAATGAGGAATTTTTTGTTAATAGCTTAGCCAGTTGACCAATGGCATATTTAAAGTGGAAAAATATACTCAGTCTGATCTTGAAAGCTAGGAAATGAAAATCATTAGCAGTCTGACATTTGTCAGTCCAGATAAGTACCAAATATAAACATTTTAAGGAAATGTTCAGGGTTTAGGAAGAGAAAAAGGACTTTGGAGTCTGAGGGCATCATCTCAGTTCAGTTACTAATGAATATACAAAACACGAATTCTAGCGACTAGTGGCAAGTTTTCACTCCTTGATACCTGTCTTGGCAAATATCCTACTGTCTGTAGTCTAATTTCCATTGGAGCTAGAAACATATACCACTGATTTGCATCAGAACCCAACAAGTATTACAAAGCTCTTCACCTCCAGCTTCAATTGCGAGGCCTGTTTCTCCCATCTTGCTTCTCACACATGCACACAAGAATAAGCATATTTAAAAACAGTACAGGGAAACTAGGTATTCAATTCTCTCTCTGAAAGGAAAGAGGCTTTACACACGACAAGTTAAACTTTACTTAAAGCATTATTTGGAGACCAGGGCCAGCGCATCCTATCCTGTGGAACCAGCGGCCACAGGGGGCCCTGGAGCCAAGAGGCCATGCCCTGCACACACCCCACCTGATGTTTAAAGGGCTCACTGGAGGCAGGGAGCCCCTTCCTGGCTGAGCAGGGGAGGAGCTCCCAGCTCTGCTCCCACTCCAGCCCCAGGGACGGTACCCAGGCATCCCCAGCACGTGCTGCCCCCCTCCCTGTGCCCTCCGCAGCACAGCCCACGTGCATGAAGCCCAGCTCCGACCATTTTATTTCAGTGAGTTTATACTGCAATTAACCACAATTTTGATTTTTTGACGGATCAGGGGCCCAAAAAAGTCGTGGGTCAGCCCTGTTGGAGACATTCAACTTGTATAATGATGGGAAAGAAAGAAGATTCTAAATTATTTTGTCAGGAATTCAAAGCTTTCATTTCAAGTCCCTGATAAGTTTCTACCTCTTCTAGTTTTACTAGAAAGTTGACTGATCTGAAGCATGGCTGCACTCGGGCAACGCAAAAGAGCAGGACAGCTGTTACCTCTAGTGACAGGATAATGCAAACATCAAAACATTTAAGTCATCAATCAAATGTTTCCAAGTCATCTGCAAAAATCTTGTTGGTCTAATAAAACATATCATTGCTACTATGAGTCCTGATCGGCTAAGTCAGCAACATGTTCACTATGTTGCAACTGCTGTTCCTAGTACAGCTTCTCTCAACCAGGTGCCAGCTCTTTTCAAGGGTGCCACGAGATGTGAGGAATTGAGGCGTTAGAAGACAAGCAGAGAAACTAAGCAGATAAGTGTGGGCTTCAACTCGACCCAGCCTGATCCCCATCCCCACTGCCAGGCCTCTCCACAAGGAAGTAGGTAATCTGCACCATCACAGATCCTCACAGGAGGAGACAGGTTTCATACCAGTTATGAACCGACTGCCCAGAGGAGTTTTCCATCTCGATTCCTCTGTGAAATCGTGTGAAATACAAACTTTCATTTTACTCGGGAGAACTTTTACAAACTTTTCTCCGATGCCCGATGAAGGGGGTTTGCGCTCAAAAGCTTGCTATTAAAGATTGTTTTTTGCAAAAATCTTGTTGATCTAATAAAATAAATCATCTCTACTACAACTGCCTTTTCCTCTAGACCAATATGGCTACAACCTGGATGCCCGACACATGGAAGATATTGAATTTTAGCCGATTTTTAAAAATTAAGTCTTTATATCTTCCCAAGCAGGAAGCAAGTGTGACCACCTGAAACCAGAGATCATGCTCCTGCCTTTGTTTCAAGGTAATTTGCATCATCACAGATACTCGCAGGAGGCGAGAGGCTTCATACCAGCTATGAACTGACTGCCCATGAGTTTTCCCTCTGTGAAATCCTATGAAATACAAACTTTCATTTCGACCCAGAAGAACTTTTACAACCTTGTTTCTGATGCCCAATGAAGGGGGCTTGTGCCTGAAAGGGTGCAATTAATTTTTTTTTTTTTTGTAAAAATCTTGCAATAAAAGATCACCAATTCAGTTGTCAGATAACCAGTTCAACCAGCAAAGATATTTGCCGATAAAAAAAAAATAATAAAAGAAATCATCTCTACTACGACTCCCGATTGCTGTAATCCATCAGGTTGGTTTTGAATCTGCCGCCCAGCTCACAAGAAGCGATAGAGAGGGGTCGAGCAGGGCGAGGACCGGGGACGCTCTCGAGCCCAGCCAGGGCCGCGAGTGGGTCTCGACTGCAGGGAGCTCTTAGCCCCGGGGCAAGAGGGGGGGCGTGCGGGGAGCCGCAGGCCGTGCAGCGGGGCTGCTCTCGGATCCAGGCCCGCAGACCGGGGGGGGGGGGCGATCACGGCCCGG